CAACGGGAGAGGCCACAACAGTGTGAGGCCCGCGTACCACACACACACACACACACACACACACACACACACACACCCTTTATCAAAAGGGAAAACAGACTGAAAATAAATGAACAGAGCTTTCAACTCAAGATGTTGTACAAAGAACATTAAGAAAAAGGAATAAAATAAAACCAGAAATTAACAGTAAACAAACACCAAACACTGGAGATAATTAGTAAATCATCAAATAAACTAGACAAACTATGTTAAACACCACAACCAAATACAGCTAATTTCAAGAAGGAAATATCAATTCAAAATCAGTAATTCTACTAATGTAAATCACCATTAGCAAATTAACAGAAAACTATGTGTTTATATTAAAAGATGCCCAAAAATCATTTGATAAAACCCAATTCCACTCTGGATTTTAAAACAAACAAAAACCTCTCAAACTCCCCTGAACTTCATAACAGTAGTCTAACAGAGACCTACAGAGCCCTACATAATGAGTGGACAAACACTAGCAGCATTACCTTTAAAGTCAGAAACAACACAAGGATGCCCCCATCACCATTACTACTCAACACTGTAATAAAACTAGGAAAATCTAGAGGTATGAATACCAGAAAGAAAGGGGGTGTTATGGGCTAATTGTGCCCCCGCCCCAAAATATGTTGAATTCCTAATCCCCGGTACTTCAGAATATGACTGTATTTGGAGATAAGGCTTTGAAAGAAAGTTAAAATGAGACCACTAGGATAGGCCCTAAGCCAATCTGACTTTTTAAGAAGAGATTAGGATATAGAGAGTGACAACAGGGGCCCATGTGCACAGGGGATGACCATGTGAAAAAGTAGCAAGAGGGAGGTCATCTGCAAGCCAAGGAGAGGCCTCAGGAGAAAGCAACCCTGCTAATACTTTGATCTTGGACTTCTAGCCTCTAGAACTGTGAAAAAATTAATTTCTGTTGTTTAAGCCAACCAGTCTGTGGTATTTTGTTATGGCAGCCCTAGCAAACTAAGATAGGGGACACAGATCACCTACCTCAAGAGCCCAAGACAATTAGCTGAAAAACTAACAGAACTAATAAGAGCATATAAGGCAATCCAACACAGGATCAATATAGAAAAATCAACTATTTTCCTGCATACTAGCAACAGCCAATTGGAAAATATAGTAGATAAAAAGATGCCATTTTCAATAGGAACCAAACTATAAAATAAAATACCTAGTAATAAACTGAAGAAGAGATATACAAGAAAGCCTGAATAAATAGACAGCAGACCATGTTTGAAGACAGAAGGACAAGATGGCCTGTTTTGTGGCTGCTCAAAGGTAAATGGCAGAATGATAGCAATGTCATCCAGAAGTTGCACTGGTTCAAAAGCAATTTTCCCTGGCATGTTGTTTTTAACCAATCAGTGGTGAGTTTTCTCACATTTCAGAGAAGTCCTTAGCTATATATGAAGACCTACACACAAAAGCTAAAAATCCTGCAATAGTGCCTCCCGTCAGAGGAAGGGTAAATGGTGGCTTTGTTTTCTACAAAATTAAGTTCTGTTGGGAGAGGAGGATGGTGGAGAGTGCAGCTGAAGACGTTGTGAAGACACTTTCCCCTGTGTTTAAAAACAACAAAGGACTTCCCTGGTGGTGCAGTGGTTAAGAATCTGCCTGCCAATGCAGGGGACACGGGTTTGAGCTCTGGTCCGGGAAGATTCCACATTCCACGGAGCAACTAAGCCTGTGTGCCACAAATACTGAGCCTGCGCTCTAGAGCCCACGAGCCACAACTACTGAAGCCCGCGCACCTAGAGCTTGTGCTCCGCGACAAGAGAAGCCACCCGCAACAATGAGAAGCCTACGCACCACAACGAAGAGCAGCCTCTGCTCACAACTAGAGAAAGCCTGCACACAGCAACGAAGACCCAACACAGCCAAAAATAAATAAATAATTTAAAAAAATATAAACAACAACAACAAAAGACTGCTGATGACTAGGCTCTGGATCAGATTTTAATTTGATAAAGCTGCTATTTATCTTAAGCAAATGCCCTCAAGAACCAACATCTGGAAGGAGGAACCTGAGCCCAGGCAGAGTTTAGGGCTACAAAGGATCCACTGACTACAGTGCTGGGTGCAAATGCCGATGGGCTCTAACTAGGCAAGGATTACTATTAGGACTGTCATTATCTGGGCCAGTGTTTTGGCTTCAAAGCCACAGAGATTTTGAGGGGTATACCCCTTTCTTTTTCTTGTAAGCCCTATTATTTTTAGTGTACAAATCTTCAGGACATTTTTCAGAAATGTGTATATCCCACTGTAGCAGAAAGGGCTCTGATGAAAGATGTCAGTCTCCATAAATTAATCCATAAATTGAAAATGCCATGCAATCTTAATAAAAAATCCTAATAGCATTTTTCATGGAGTTTGACAAGTTGATTCTATAATCCATCTGGACTAGAAAAAGCTCAATGGCGGCCTAGAAATTCTGGAAAAATAAGAACAAGTAGTTGGGTACCTCCTCATTAAACTGCCTTTCTAGTGTTGCTGGGCAAAGCAGGGAGAGGGGGAAGCAGACAGAGGTTGAGTGAGTTGTTTGTCCTGAGGTAGGACTAGTGAGACCAGGTCCAGGTGCCTTGGCTATAGGTCAATGTGACTGTCTGCTGAAGGTAAGATGGATAGCCAGGGAAACTTGGCAACAAACTAAGACCAATCATAGCTCAACCCAGAGATGATGGGCTTGCTGAACATCTGTATTCTCCTCAGGTCCAAAGCAAGTTATGCAGAGGGGATTTGCCCTACCAGACACAAGGTCTAGAGTAACTAACCTATGAGGTAGTGCCACATGAGTGGACAAGTTGGTTTTATGGAACAGAATAATATTAATAACATCTAACACACAGCACTTACCATGTGCTAGGCAACGTTTTAAGTGCTTTATGTATAACTCAGTTAATCGTCACAACAACCTATGAGGGAGGTACTATTATCACAGAGAGGTTAATTAGCTTGCCCAAGGTTACATAGCTATTGAGGAATAGAACTGGGAATAGAGTAGAAAAACAAACCCAGGAAATTGCCTGGCAGCCCAGTGGTTAGGACTCTGAGCTTTCACTGCCGAGGGGGTGGGCTCAATCCCTGGTCGGGAACTAAGATCCCACAAGCCGCTCAGCGCGACCCGCCCCCCTCCCCCCAAAAAAAAGGAAAAAAGAAAAACAAATCCATATATATATGGGAATTTAGTTTAGGACAGAAGCGGAGCTTCAAATCAGGGGGATAATTAATGAACTAGTCAATACCCCAAAAAGCCGCTCAGCGCGACCCGCCCCCCTCCCCCCAAAAAAAAGGAAAAAAGAAAAACAAATCCATATATATATGGGAATTTAGTTTAGGACAGAAGCGGAGCTTCAAATCAGGGGGATAATTAATGAACTAGTCAATAAATGGTATTGGGGCAAATGACTATCCATGTGGAAAAAAATATAGATTCTTACCTCTCACAATTCACAAAACCTAATTCCAGAAAAAAAGCTAAAATTTTAACTTCTGTACAAGTTTTAGGTGAAAATATAAGAAATTCTTCTTACACAAAACATAAAATACAAAAAAAAATTGATAAAGACGACTATGTAAAAACTGAAGTCTACTACATGCTAAAAGATACCATAAGTAAAATTAAAATACAAGCAACAGACTAAGAGAAAATATTTTTCAACATTTGCAGAATATATAAAAAACACTCCAACAAATCTAGAATACATAAAGAACTCCTACAAATCAATAAGAAAAACTAACATCCTGAAAATGAGTGAAAAACTGAATAGATAATTCATGGGAAAGGAAGAGCCAATAAACATAAAACAAACAAACTGCAACACCATTTTTTGCCATCAGATTGGCCAAAATTAAAAAGGCTGATAACATCCACTGTTGGTAAGGCTGTGGGAAAACAGGTATATCTCATACACCACTCATATACTGACCTTTTTGGAAGGAATTCGGCACTATCAACATTTATGTTGTACATACCTTCAACTCAGCAGGTCTAGCAACCTTACAGAAATGTTAACAGGCACATGGGCACAAAAGGTTATTTACAAGAATTTTCAAAACACTAAAAATTAGAAACAACCTAAATGATAATCAGTAGGACAGTTAAACATATGATGGTATACCTATGCTACAGACTACTGTGCAGCAGGTAGATCTCAATGCATTGATGAAGTGTATCTCTAGGTACTGATGTTGAAAGATATCCAAGTAAGTTGTAGAACCACACACACTAAACCAAACTATACCTCTATCTATTTATGTCTACATATGGGTATAAACACAAGAAAATAAACGGTATACATCAAACTGATAACAAAGGTTACCTTTGGATAACCTTTCTCAGAGGGGGAAGAGTGTTAGTCAAAGGAAATTTCTGCCTTCTCTGTCTTGTTCTAATTTTGGTCAATGAGGATTAATTTTTAAAATAATATTAAAACAAAAAACTACATTAAAGTCAGCTGCACTATACAAAAAAGTGCTTCATACATTGTAGTACTCAACAAAGTTTACTTTACAAAAAAGGAGTCATCTACTAAATGAGAAAAGCCCACCGAAAAGTCATCATAAACCTTTGCAAGGGATGAACTGAATGACACATAACACAAATGATACAGGTAATGGAAGTAAAATAGGCAAGAGGGAAAAAAGAGTCACCAGCAGTGAAGACTGGACAATGCTAAAAATGGTTAGTAGCTAATTATAATAGCTACCATTTTCTGAGGGCCTCCCATGAACAAGACACGGTGCCAGGTGCTCTGTGCAAGCATCATCTCTAATTCTTACATCAACCTGTGAGATATCCCCATTTTATAGATTAAGAAAATACGGCACAAAGAAACCAAGTATCACGTTTAAGGCCAGGCCTTTGCTCACTACAGGCTGTCCTGGATTGGATTTGGGATTGAGACTGGGGCTAGCGGGGAGCCCTCCTGGCCTGGACTCAAGTGCTCAGCTGCCCTTACTATACTCTGCATCCTTGAAGCATGCTCCCAAGCTGTCCTGTTCATCGAGACTGGCGTTCTCCTCCTCCTCCTCGCTCTCGGTTCTCCAGTATGCTGGCCGCTTGATGGGCCGCTTCCCTGGGGTGCGCTGGGAAGCAGAACTGCTAGACACTGTGCCCAGCCCACTGCTGGAACTCCCACTGCTTCGGTCCTGCCCCCCGGTCCACCAGGCCTGCAGGCTGGAGGTAGCTGGCGAGGATGATGAGGACTGCAGGTTGGCCATGCACAGCATGCCCTGGATGGCCTCCTGAGTGCTGGGAGAGGCAGGGGCCTCGCTGCAAGGGACAGAGGAGAAATGCTGAGGGAGTTTCTCTAGTTGTCAGAGGAAATCAGTCATCAGAAGAGTCAGGAAGGAGGGACAATAGCTGCCGGGGTCAGGGTGGGAGGAAGGAGGAGAGAACCATCCCAGGCGAAAAACCAGAAACCACACTAAAGATCAAAATAGTATCAAAGGGCTTCCCTGGTGGCGCAGTGCTTGAGAGTCCGCCTGCCGATGCAGGAGACGCGGGTTCGTGCCCCGTTTCGGGAAGATCCCACATGCCGCGGAGCGGCTGGGCCCGTGAGCCATGGCCGCTGAGCCTGCGCGTCTGGAGCCTGTGCTCCGCAAATGGGAGAGGCCACAACAGTGAGAGGCCCGCATAACGCAAGGAAAAAAAAAAAAAAATAGTATCAAAGACTATTTTCATAAAAAGGCCAGTCCTTCTTGACTCGTCTCTCCATAGACAGCAGGCAAGATGGCAAAAAGAGGGGTACACCTCCCTTCCTGTTCACCAATGCTGCATTCTTTCCTTTTTCTTTTTTCTTAAAGCAAGGCCCAGAAAAGGCCCAGCTCTCCTTCCATGCCTCTTCTAACTTCCAAAAACCCCCAAACTTATTACCCTTGAAGTCCATATATCCTCTCTCAGTCAGATCTTAAGTACCTTGGGACAGATTTCATGTCTACTTTATTCTTTCAGCCCAAATGCCCTGGCTAATTTTTGTCCCTTTAAATGATCCAATTAATATCTACTGATTGGTTGACCTAGCCCTTTGGGTGGCAGGTGGGGGTGTGTGTTGTCTGAACACCTAGAAAGGGGAGATCAAAGCCAGTACTCACGTGAGGGCAGCATAGTCAGGTCCCCCCACCTGCCTGCTGGCCTTGAGCAGATCAAGAATTCCACCAGCTCCACTCCCGTTTCCAAGCTTGCCTTCGACCCCTTCTACCACGTCCTCATCTGTTGTATAGTCCTCCTGTTGGAGAAAAAGGATATCACCTCAGCTGCCCAGGGTTGGTCTGGTAAGGCCCCAATACAGGGTTGACAGTCTCACTCCTGATACTAATATCTTCTGAGCACCAAGTATCTACCAAGTACTAAGCAGAATACTTGTTCTTTCATCTTAATCTCCACAGCATCTTTGTGAGGCAAGTCTAACTCCCATTTTACAGATAAGGAAACTAAGGCTCAGTAAAGTTAAATAATTTGTGTAAAGTCACAATCAGATATTCCAAATCAGATACTCTTTCTGCTACATCACACTGCCTTTTATTCTACTCTATATTAAAGAATTTTTAAAATATTTTAACTAAAGTATAATCTTCCATTTATATGTTCAGGAGCACTTAGCCCACAATCTTTCACTTTATAAATATTTTAGGAATGGAATGCAAAGGATGTCTCCCCCACCCTCAACTAGAATGACAATCTGTATTCTGTCTATGTAACCAGAATGAGCAGAAGATTAGAAACAGGACAGGCCCCTACCTCAATGTCAAACTCAACTTCTCCTGGTTCACGAACTCGGTTGGGGTCAGAGCAAGGCTTCGCACGGGGCAACTTTCGGGGAAATTCTAGAAAGCAATGGAATGTACTTATCATGAAGCTAAGATTAGCATCTGAGTCAAACACCCAGGGGAAAGAGAATAAGACTATAATTTTCCTGAAAGTAATGACCACAGACGAGTAATTTAGGGAGGTTAGGAATTAGCTTATAAATAAATCTCTAGAGCAAAGGACATATGGAAGCTTACAGAGCTGGTAAATCAGAATGTCAACAAGCTCAGGCCTAAGGTCTTGAGTCTATCAAGCAGACCAAAAACAAACTGAAATGGGCAGGGCAGGAAAGAAAAAGAACAAGTACACACTTGGTCTTATTATCAGGGTCGCCTTCTCCTTTCCCAGTCTCTCGTCAATCTGCAGTTCATCTTCTGAATCCAAGTCAAATTCATCCTCCATCACATGTTCTGCCACCAGCCTAGCCTTGTCTACCTTCTTTGTGATCCTGGCTCGCCGAGACTTGGATAAGCTCTTTACCCTCTTGGTACTGGAGAGAGAGTGAAGGTGAACATAAAAACAGTCACACTCGATGGCAAATTCTACCCAAATTGATCTACAGATTCAATGCAATCCTATCTAAATCCAACTAGTTTTGTAGAGATTAATAAGCTGATACTAAAATGTATATGGGCATACAACGGACTTAACATGGCCAAAACAATTTCAAAAAAGAACAGACTTATACTACTCAATTTCAAAATTTACTATAAAGCTACAGTAATCAAGGTAATGTGATATTGCCATAAGGATAGACATACACATCAATGGAACAGACCTATGAGTCTAGAACTAAACCCTTAAATTTATAGTCAATTGATTTCTGACAAAGGTGCTTATTGGCAATTCAGTGGAGAAAGAATAGTCTTTTCAACAAATGATGCTGAGATAAGTGGATATCACATGCAAAGAAATGAATGTGTACTCTTAGCTCATATCATACACAAAAATTAAAAATGGATCATAGATCTAAATGTAAAAGCTAAAACTATAAAACTTCTAGAAGAAAATATAGGAAAATATCTTTGTGGCCTGAGATTAGGTAAAATTCAAAACATTGGTGCTTCAAAAGACACCATTAAGAAAATGAAAAGACAAGCCACAGACTAGGAGAAAATATTTGTAAATCATTTATCTAGAAAAGGATTTGTATCCACAATATTTAAATAACTCTTAGAATGCAACAAAAGACAAACAAAACCAATTAAAAAATAAGCAAAAGATTTGAATGGACATTTCTCTAATGATGATATATAAATGGCTCAACATTATTAGTCATTAGGGAAATGCAAATCAAAACCGTAATAAGATACCACTTTACATCCATCAGACTGGCTATAATCAAAAAGACAGACAATAACAAGCATTAGCCAATATATGGAGAAACTCATAATTGCTGGTAGGAGTGTAAAATGGTACATGCTTTGGGATAAATTTTGGCAATTTCTTCAAAAGCTAAACAGAGTTACCATATGACCCAAAATTTTACTCCTGAGAAACAAAAACATGTCCACACAAAAACTAGTACTCAAATGCTCATAGCACCATTATTCATAAGAGCCAAAAAGCATAATCAATCCAAATGACCATCAACTAGTGAATGGATAAACTAAATGTGGTATAGCCGCACAATGGAATACTACTGAGCAATAAAAAGGAACAAATTAATGATACTTCTACATCATGGATGAACTTCAAAAACACTGTTAAGTGAAAGAAGCCAGACACAAGAGACTACATATGTATGATTCCATTTATATGAAGTGTCTAAAAAGGCAAATCCATAGAGATAGAAAGTAGATTAGTGGTTGCTTGGGCCTGGGGAAGAGAACCAGGACTGACTGTAAGTGGATATGAGGGATCTATTTGGTGTGATAGAAATGTTCCAAAATTATATTGTGGTGATGGCAGCGTATTCTTTAAATTTACTAAAAGTCATTTAATTGTACACTTTAAACAGGTTAATTGTATGGTATGTAAATTATACCTCAAAAAAGCTGTTAAAATATATAAAGGAAGTAGAAAGAACTCAAAAGTGGCTTAAATAATCCTGTTACACATGGTAAACAATATTAACCAGTACAGATTGCTCAAATAAGCCTTATAGTTAAGAGAAACAAGTTTTTGGTAAATCAGTACACTTGACACATTCAGCAAATAGTCACTTGGTGAACTGGATTTTAGTGAATTAGCTGTTTTCTACCTCATAGGGTTGCTGGGAGGATTAATGAGCTAATGTAGAGACTGACACATGGCAAGTGGCCCAATGGTAGCTAATCTTATGGTTCTCTGGGCCTCACTTTACCACATTAGTAAAATGGGGATAACAACACTTACCCTCAGGGTTGTTGTGAGGACTAAATAAAATAATGTATGTAAATGGCTAAGATAGAGTCTGACACAGAGCAGGTGCTCAATAAAAGGTAGCTATTTAACCTTGATCTTTTATTAACTTCTAATAATGAAAAATCTCAAACATATATAAAATATTAAAAACTCCCATGTACCTATGACCCAGCTGAGTTTTAGCAATTATCAACACACAGCCAATCTTGTTTCATCTACACCTCAGTCCCCACAAAACATGGCATTATTCTGGAGAAAAGACCAGACATAATATCATATCGTCTATAAATATTTCTATACCTTGACTCCCTAGGTTCACTTAGCAGCAGCCTCTGGCAGGTGCAAGAAGATAACAGAAGCAGCGCAAGAAAGACTGGTGAGGAAGGGAAAAATGTCTCATTGTGTCCTCAATAGCCATTATAGGCTGGACCCTTAGGACTCTCAATTTTCCCTTCCCCAGCAGACCAACCATGGGTTCTAGACAAAGGCAATGCTCAACAGTCTCTCTAATCTTATTCTTCAGTAACTATGTTCTCAAATAACAAGGATAGCTCTGCTGCTTTCAGAATCTGCCCTGCCCTCACACTCCCTTTTCCCTTATTTCCCAGCCAGGTAGACCTACTACACTCACCCTTGGGATCTGAAAAAAATCTTTTCCTACAAAAAGGCTGTTAAGGTATCCTTGTCGCTTATGTTCCTACACTGTTCATACTCTGTACTTAACTCTTGACTGCTCCTGTCTGGTGTTCTGAGTGTCCAGATGGTAACTTTTACTGTCTTCCTTTGCCTCCCTACACCTTT